GGCAGTGGGGAAGACCCGTTCCCGGGCCCTGTGACATCACTAAGGCAGCAGTAAATGTTACAGGGACCCGCCCGTGAGGTGCTGGGGGTGAGGCTTCCATCGCCTCTGCAGCCAGGGCTTCCTCTGACCCCCCAGGCGGGGAAGGCCTTGAGGGCACACCGGAGCCTTCTCCTTCTCCCCCTCTGCGTTCTCAGTGCCCAGCTCAGAGACCAGCAAACATTACAATAAAATAGTAAAATAAAATAAAATAAAATAAAACCCACCCTGTGAATACATGTGTTTGTGCATTCGACAAAGACTGACTGAGCGTTCCTTTCCTCCTCGGCAGGCAGTGTGGGCAGCTGGCAGGAGAGGACATAGTGGCTCTATGGAAGGACAACTGGAGAAATCGGCTTCTCTAAGTTTGATATTTCTTATCTACAAAATACGTTCTGTGAATAGTTATACTGATTTTTAACCAAATAAGCATTAAATATGATCAAATCGCTGCTAAAAGCTTGCTGTGTTTGCCCCAGTTTGGCCTCATTTTCCCACCCATTCAAGGTGGTGCTGGGGAGTATTCTTCACACGGACCCCGTGAGGCTAGTGAGGGGACTTGGGGGGTCCGTGGACACTGCCATGCTCCATGTGGGGCACACCTTTTTCTTGGGAGAGTCAATGGCTTTCAAAAGGCTCATAAGGGGGTTTGTGACCTTAAAAAGTTGAGAAACAGAATAGAATTACTCAGGACCCTCCACGCTCATTTGGTGATTCCTTTGTACCCACCTCGGAGCGCACACTTGAGAAGGAGTCGAGGGAAAAGAAAAAGGCAATTGAAGGGCTCTGGGCAGTGGAGAGCCTGGCTCCGGCCTCATCCAGAAGCGCCCACACGGGCATAGGTGTGGGCATCATCCCTGGGCCTTCCCCGGCAGTCCTTGACCTGGTTGAGCGGGGCCTTGGCTGGGTGCGCGCCTGGCACACCCTGCCGATGTCTCCCATGCAGTCCCCAAAGCTGCCAGCCAGGAGCCAGTTCGGGTTTCAGAGGCACCAGCGAGCGCTGTGCGTGGCCTGCCAGGTGAGGAGAACAGAGCCGGCATTAACGAGACGCTCCTCTCCCGGTATCGCCTTTCCCTTCGCAGGCGGTGTCTTGGACCGGGAGCAAACCTGTGTCTCTCTCCGGAGCCAGGACTTGATATTGTTGTGAATGGAGGTTTTCATCCCCCAGCTAGGTCTGCCCTCCATGGCGCCTGCCGCCGGTGCCAGGCTTGGCACCTGAGACGTGAGCCCCCAGCTGTGGGAGGAGCGGGGGGATGAGAAGAAGCAGGCTCAGCAGCTTCCCCTCCACCCAGACGTGGTGGAGGAAGAAGAGGCATCGTGCCCCAGGAGAAGGAGCGAGGACGGCAGGGTTCCGGCTGGGCTCTGACGGGTGGTGCGTGCTGGCCGTGTTTTCCACAGCCCACGGAGGAGCCAGACTCAGAGCAAAGTCACCATAGGTCAGGATGGTACGGAATAAAGCTGGAGAGGAGGATTTCACCAAAAGGGAATGGGAGAAGAGAAAAGCATGGGGGCTCCTAATACCTTAGACCAGTGGTGGGCATCTCAGAGCAGGGAGCACGGGCCAGGAAGCGTGTGTGCATGGCGGTGGAGGCCGCCCCTGGACACCGTCTGGGAGATGGGTCGGGGAGAGAGGACTGCCGGGAAAGAGGGCATGAGCTGCAGGGGCAGCTCCAGCTCGGGGTCCTGGCAGCCGGGACAGCGCCCTTCACCCCAGGAGAGCTAGGCCAGCAGGAGACGTCGGGGCTGGGCGGCAGGGTGTGGCCCAGCTGGGCCGGGAGCTGGCCTGCTGTGCTCTCCTGTCTGCAGGCCTCCCCCGGCGGCCTCTGTCCCCGCCCTGAGCTCTCACTCACACAGGCAGCCTCTGACGGCAGGTGTGGGACCTAGGAGGGTGGCCAAAGGGAAGCAAAGGGTGGAAGGGACCGACTAGGATTTCAAAGCGCAGCACCCACAGGCCCGCGTCCTGGCTGGGAAGCACTCGCTTGTCCATTCGGTGGTTGAGGTCCCACAGGCCTGCGAGTGAGGGCAAGTCCCCATAAACACCAGTGGGCAGGGACAGCTCACCAGCACCGCCATTCACCATGTGTCCATGCGGCGCTGGGTCCTGGGGTGGGCGAGGGGGAGAAGGAGAAGAGCTCACAGCCGGGTCGGGTGGACTCGATGTTTGCTGAGCTTCCGGAAGGTTGGCTGTCTGCTTCTGGGGCTCGGACATGCAGCTCCGGAAGTCCATCCTCACAGCATTCCTGCCAGTGGAGGAAGCAGGTTCTGAGAGGCTAAGGGTCCTGCTCGGAACCGCACAGCTGGATTTGGAATCCTGGTTCTGTCCGACTCCAGTGCCTGCCTGTTCCACTGAGGCCAGGGGCCCTCTTCTCTGAGAGGGGAAGAGGCCGAAGCCTGCAGACAGGGGTCTGGGTGGCTTGAAGCCTGAGGTGGACCTGGTCACAGGCCCTTCCAGTGCATGTTGCCAAGGCACATGGCACTCAGCAAGTCCCCGATAAACCGAGAGATGAAAGGGTCTCACTCAAGGACCACCCGCCGCGGACCAGGCTCTCGGCTCTGCGGGCAGTTGGGAGAGGAGTGGCTCAGTCCCTGTCCTCAAGGAGCTCACAGACCAATAGGAAGTGCTAAGACCCCTCAGGCACCGAGTCAGACAAACCTTTGTCCCTCTGAGTGGGGTGGTGGAGGTGGGAGCCTGAATGTTTCAGAACCCCAGTTTCCTTCTCTGAAAAACACAGATAGTAGCACCTAATTTATTGCATTGTTGTGGAGATTATGCAAACTAAAGAGAGCTGAGAACAGGGCCTGACACAAAGCAGGGCTCAGAAATCATTATAATTATGATTCTTATTACCATTCCAGATAGAGTTCAACGACAGTGAAGAGCAGTTAAGTTGAAGAACTATAAGAGAGGCAGCGATAAAGTGCTCATGGGATTCAGGGATGGGAGGCGGGCAGGTGCGTGGGGAGATGCAGGAAGGCTTCCGGTTTTGTTTCCACTGCCCCATGTATCTTATGATCATCTGGTCCCCAGCCTCTTCACCAGACTCACTCCCGGCTCTAGGCAGTGAGTAACTGGGCGCCGAGGCCTCTGCTCCAGGGTCTTGGGAGCTCAGGTACCACCCGCTCTCCTCCCCATCCCAGCAGCTCCGCTCAGAGCGTCCATGGTGAGCCCACAGCCAGCGGTAGCTGAACAGCCCTGCCCACACAGGCCCAGCCCAAGACCCAGCCCCAGCCCCAGCCCCAGCCCCAGTGCCCAGAGCAGGAACCCTGCCCGAGCCTCCTGGGGAGGCATCCTGGCGAGCTTCCACAGCCCTGTGTCCCTGGGAGGGTGGGGAGAGCAATGGAGGGGAGTCCAGAGGCCGGGTTCGCACTTGCCTGAGAGCCGTGGGCCAGGCTGCCCCCTCTCCAGGGTACGGCAGAGCTCATGTGGCCCTGGCCTTCCCAGGGTCTACAGCAGAGGGTCCCATAGGGCAGGCAGCCCTCAGCCAGTGAGGTCAGAGTTGGTGGGCATACCCCTCAGCTCCTCAGTGGGACAGCCGTTTGGTGTGTCCTCCCGGGTGGTCCCCAAGAGGAGTGAGCCATCGGCGAAGTCAGTATGTCCTTTATTGCTCATCTCTTTCACTGTCTGTTTCCCACGTCTCCGCAGTGTCCTGGGAAGGGTTGCCTCCCAGGTAAACTCCTTGCACCCCAATCCCTGTCTCAGCATCGCTTCTGGAGAGCCCAGCTGCGGTGTGTACCCAGCTGGTCACCCTTAGGCCAGGGGCCAGGGCTGCGGGGTGTCCTCTAAGGCCTCTTGGCTCCAGTGTTCCTGTTGCTGCCTCTCCCTCCCCTGGGCTGCTCCGCCCACATCCTCACGGGGTTGGGGGAAGTCAGGACCGTCCACACGCTGCTGTCTGCTTTACAGGTGACCTCCTGCTCCCAGGACAAGAATCTTCCTGGATGGGAGGGTCTGGCAGTTGGGAAAAAATTCAACAGCTTTGGTCTGGTTTCAGGAGGAACAGCAGGCAGCTCCCTCAAGCCTCCTGTAAACGGGTGTGCCGCTTCATAGTTAGAGAGAACGCCGTCAGGGGCCACGGAAAAAAGGGCTGACTCATCAGTTCCTAATGACACTAACAAGCGGCATCTGTGAGCTGCCCTGGCCCTCGTCGCGGGGAGTGGGAGTGATTTGCTTTCCGGGGCTCCACCATCAGAGCCCCCTCTCCGCCTCCCTGGAGTGTGTCATGCTCTGGCTTTTCACAGGAAAACTGCCTACCACCATAGCTAAGGCAAGGTAATAAAATATTCACCAGCAGAGGCCAGAGGGTGGAAGCTCACGTCTTCCAGAAGTCCTAAACTAAAGACACACAGACCCAGACAGAAGACGTGCCAGCCGGCAGACATTCCCAGGCACACTGAGGAGCAACACAGCCTCACACACACACACATACACACACCCACATCTGCCAGCACACACATGTGCTTTGATCACACAGCTCACAGCACACGAGCCTGAACTGAGGACATGTGTGCCACGATATGAACACAGACTCGCATTGCATGTCCCCGTGAGCCCCCACTACATATGCCCACCACACAACCCCCCACCCACCCACATCTGTACAGAAAAGTGACCTCTTAGCTGGTGGACTGGGTCAGAAGAGCCTGTCACTGGCCCTGACTTTTGAACCACAGTTGCTGCCTGGCTGTCCTGAGGAGGCCAGGCTCTGTCAGGCAGAGAGCGGAGGCTGTGCTGGGGAGTGTGACTCAGAGGAGAGTCACACAACTCCATTCTGCTGCCTGCTGCCAGGAGGGGAGGACGAGGGAAGCTTGCAAATGTGAAAGCTGAAAGGGCTCTGCGCTTCTGGAAGCTTCCACATTACCATGTCACTTGTCCAGGCTGGTAGTGTCCCTGAGGGCAGTGTGAGGAGCGGCTGTTGTCACGAACACAAAGCCCTGTGCTCAATTATAGGGAGCGCTTCTCAGGGGTGGCTGCGGAGTCGCCTTCCCATGCACCAGCTCCGGCCAGGCCGGCCCTGCCCAGGGCTCTGGCGTGCCTGCAAAGAGAGCAGTTGGCCCCTGGGCTTCTGAGGTGGTCACATACGTTGGCGTGTGTCTGCAAAGGTAATCCTGCCTCCTGACTTTTCTAGAAGCTCTGACTAGCAGCTCACAATGAGACGATGCATGCCAGACTTAGGATGTTTGAAGCTTCCCCGGTTCACAGGCCATGCCTCAGGTCCCTGGGATGCTGTTTTTCATGTACCTACTCTGGACGCATCGTGGAGCCTGGGCCCTGGGGGGAGAGAACTGGCTGCCCAAAGGAGCCCATAGCCTGTGGGGGAAGTAGACAAGGGCTAAGAGATTAGCAATTTGCTTTTGGACCAGAGACTCTAACTGATCTTGGAATGCAAAGAAGTTGGCCAGAGCCCTAGCTGGTTTGGCTCAGTGGATAGAGCGTTGGCCTGCGGACTGAAGGGTCCCAGGTTTGATTCCAGCCAAGGGCACATGCCCAGGTTGTGGCTCTATCCCCAGTAGGGGTTAGGGATGTGCAGGAAGCAGCCAATCAATGATTCTCTCTTATCATTGATGTTTCCATCTCTCTCTCCCTCTCCCTTCTTTGAAATCAATAAAGAAATATATTTAAAATTTTTTAAAAAAGAAGTTGGCCAGACAAAGAGAGAGGTATGTGTATGAGTGGGTGGGAGGTTAGAGGGGCAGGGGATAGAGGATGGAGAGGAGGGAGATGTAATTCTGAGTGGAAATGCAGAATCCCCGAAATGAGCATGGTTTCCTACTTAGGCAATGGTAGGCCAGGGCTGGCAAAGGACAGCTCACAGGCCAGATTCAGCTCACTTCCTGGTCTTGTAAATAAAGTTTTATTGGCACACAGCCACAAATATTAATTTATTTAGAACAGCAGAATTAATTTCTACTCAACAGCAGAACACAGCATGGCTCTCAAAGCCTGAAATATAAACTATAGTAAATACTATCTGACCCTTTATACAAAACTAGAGGCCTGGTGAATGAAGTTCATGCACTGGGGTGGGGGGTCCCTCAGCCTGACCTGTGCCCTCTCACAGTCCAGGAGCCCCATGATCGATTGCCCCAAAGAGGTAGGCTGGTCGGTGGCCTGGGCCTCTCTCTTTGGGGTGATCATGAAGCCCCCCAATTGATTACTTGCCCCGCCAACCGGTGGCTTGGTCCTCGCTCTGCAGGGTGATCAAAGGGTGATGGCCAGGCCCTGACCAATCCCATCTCTCCCGCCTTGGCTAGCCTGGCACCAGTGGGTGTCATAGTGTGGTCATCCGGATGGTCGTTCCCCTGTTCGGCCATTTGGTTGATTTGTATATTACACTTTTATTATTATAGAAGATAATTTGTCAACCCTGTTCTAGGTCTATCAGTTAATTCTGGAACCATTGTAGAATTCTCAAGCCAACCACAGAATACCTAGCACCTGCTGCGTAGGTCTGGAATCCGGCATGGTGTTCTAGAGCTCCCGGAAGCATGACATCTGTATAGGGATTTAGGAGTTCGCAGTGAGCTTTTGCATCCATTATCCCATTTAATCCTTCAACAAGCCCGTGTGAGGTTAATGGTAATTTTATCCCAATTTTTTCAGATGAAAAAACTAAGACAAAAGGAAGTGAAGAGACTTGCTGAAGACACATGGCAGAGAGACAGCCGAGTCCCCGGCAGCCTGATGCTGACATTCCACGCTCTTTCCAGCACATTAACCTACAGATGTTTCTCCGTCACACATTCCACCACTGAGCTGCCCTCCCTGTCAGTCCGTTTCCCTCCGCTCCTTCCTAACAGCCCTGCTGCCACTGAGGAGCCTTTTGTCCATTGTGCTGCGTGGTGGGAGAGCGGGCTGGAGGAGAATCGAATTTCCTTTCCGCGTCTGTTTGCTGGTGCCCAGTGCACCCTGGGACGCTAACCAACACTGACAGATGAGCTGCAATTGGCTGGTGTGTGAGAAGAACCACTGGACCAGGTAATTCCAATCCACCTCCTCAAAACTCCATCAAGGAGGGAGCCCAGGGTGGCAGTGATGGCCCTGCCCTTGGGGACTTGGCGTGCTAAGAGAGGGCCTGTGAGGGCCCCTGGAGGGGTGGGTATCCTGACTGACCCCATTCTGAACACAAGGGTTGCAGCACCCTTGCTCATTTATTTTCACAGGAGCTGCTCTTAATGGGCTTTCATTCCATTTATTAGATACAATGACCCAAGATGTGGCTGTGTTGTATCAGGCAGATTCTGCGTGTGCACGCACACACACACACACACACATGCATGCACTTCCTGCAGCTCTGTGCTGCTGACTGGAGCTCTGCATGCTGTGGGTAACACATTTAGCTCAATAAAATATAATATACGATGGGATCATATTTAACAAGGAAAACAGGGCCCGAAAGGACAGAGGAACAGTGTGGCTGGGTTGCCATGGAAACCCCTGGTTCGGAATTTCCTGACTCCTAGGAGATTACATTTTCAACCTTAATGCTGTATTAACATAAGCTTTGGCACTTAATGTCTCTGTTTTTCACCTCCCCTCTCTCCCTTGCTCACAGGCAAAGGAAAGCATCAGGGGTGAGCCAGGGGGAGGAGAGGCTGCTCTTGTGAAAGCCTACACAGGACCCCGCTGCAACCAGCCACCACACCGGGCCGTGGGCTCTGCCCTTTTGGAGGCCTCCCACCCATCACCTCTGTGACCTGCACACAAGCCCAAGAAGCAGAGCTGTAAGGTCACCACGTCCCATGCAGGCTGCCTCTCAGACGCCTCTGCGTTCTCTCCTCCGTTGCACTGCCACTGCCCTTTCATCTCTCCTTCAACAGCTTCTCACCCTGCTCCCTGCTCCCTTCTCACCTGTCACTTTGCCCTCCAGCCCCTCTTGCCACCTGAGTGATCCCTCCGCACTGCAAATGTGTTCATCCTGCAGTTGACTTCGCAGCCTCCACGGCCCCAGCAGGTACAGACTGAAGCCCACCTCCTGTGCATTCAAGGATCGCTATGTCTCTCTGCAGGTTCCTTTCCACGAGTTCCCACCATATCCACCCTCCTCCATTCCCCCAGCCAGTCGAGGCAATGATGTGCTTTCTGAATACACTTCCAGGGGCCATCCCTCTGCTCAGGCCACGGAATCAGCCTGTACCCCTGCCTCTCCTGTCTTTAAGACCCAGCTCAGCACCACCTACTTCAGGGGCCCCTGCCCACTTGGCTGCCACTGTTTCCATGGTGCTGTACCAAATGCTGCGGCAGTCCTTACCCCCGATCGGTCCTGGTTCTTCATGCACCTGCCTCCTCTCCCATGATGGGAGCTTGTCACATCTGGGGTTCATGCCCTCTTACCGCCATATCCCCGTCACCCAACTTGGTTCTGGTACCTGGTAGGTGCTCAAATGACACTGGTGAAGTTAAGGTGGCAGGTGAGGACACTGGTGCTCAGAGAGGTCAAGAAGGTGGACTGCACACCATTTACCTGGTCAGAAGTCCAGTGGGGTCTCTCTCCTGTCACCGACCCTTCCAGCCTCTCTGCTTGCTTTGGGGTTTCAGCACCATTCACAGCCCACAACCCACATCTCTGTCTCCAGAACTGCACTTTTTTCCCTGTGAAAATCTTTCTTCCTTCCCCACAACCTCTCCACCAGCTGCCCAACAGCCATGGACCAGCGGGACTGTTGGGAAGCCAGGTCTGGGGGAGTAAGGCTCAGAAGCCACCAGAGACCCTTCACTCCATGGAAAGCCCATGATGAAACTGACTCTGAAAAACAAGGCTCTTGAGGTGGCAAAGCATAGCCACTCATCCTAGCAAGCCCGTGCATTGGGGTTTCACAGTAAGGATCTGGGGAGCAGGGCAAAGACCAGAATCTTCATCCCCTCAACCAGTACTGGGTGGCAGCCAACTCCCCCACCCCACCCCACCCCACATGCTTATGGCCCCCTGGAGCACTCAGAAATGAAGGTCCTTGCAGATGTCATTAGTGTGAGGATATTGAGATGAGCTCGGCCCAATGGCCGGTGTCCTTACAGAAGAGAGAAAGGAGAAGATGCAGGCACAGGAGAGAAGGCCTCATGAAGATCCCATGAAGACAGAGGCAGGGGTTGGAATTGTGTGTCCATAGGCCCGAAGCACCCAGGGGTGCTAGGAGAGAGGCCTGAATGGACTCCCAGAGCCTCCAGAAGAATCCAGCCCTGCCAACACCTGGTTTCAGACTCCGGCCTCTAAAGCTGAGAGAATAAATCTCTGCTGTTTCAGCCATTCAATGTGTTGTCATTTTAGCTCTAGGAGAGGAATATAACCATGTGCTATAAGAATACAGGGAAGCCCCAGCAGGGCCACAGGGAAGAGAGGAGGAGGGCTTCCTCACCCCTCACCATCACCTGTGGGCCTCTACCCTGCACCTTACCTCTCCTCGGGCTCTGCACTGCCCTCTCACTGCCCCTAGCCCATCCCCTCTCCTCCCTGTGTCTCCATCTCAGGCCTACGCGCAGCTTCCCTTAGCTCAGGGCTCTGCAGCCTTCGCTGTCCGGGGTCCAATCTCATTGGTGGTCTTGCCATTTCCCCTACATGTGCTGACCAGCCAGCTCTCTCCTCGCATTTAAACTGCCCATGATCTGATAGTTTAATTAACCACCATCCTCCCAAATGGGCATAACCTTCACCCCAGGGCACCTCATGGGCAGCAGGCCTTAGCTCTGTCTACCCTGGTCAAGCTCACCCTGGTTTTGTCATTGGTGCCAGCAGGGGAGGCTCTGAGAGGGCAAGACAGGTGACCAGAGGCAGTCCAAGATGGGTGGCACCTTCACTGTTGAGACACCTTCATGCAGAACTGAATAATATGCAGCAGGAAGGGGAAAGGGAGAGAGAAGAGCAATTTTTTTTTCAAATGTAAGAAGGAAAGTGTCATCAGCTGAAGCTTTTGAAAAGTTGAAATTGCAACCCACTTGCCTCCCTCACTGGAGGAAGGCTGCCTTTGATGAGCTGCTCAGAAGTGTCCATTGTTCTGGGTGAGCGTGACAATCTTGGGGGCAGAAGGGGTGGTGGAGAGAGGCTGGGCAGGGGCATTTGCAGAGGGGCCAAGACAAGGACAGGGGCATTGGGCTGCATTTGCTATAATCCCCACCCACTTCCTGTGTGCGGCGCTGTGCTAGACGCTGTCCAGGCACCCTCTAATGAGCGCCCCAAAGACCCAGGGCTGGTGCCAGTGTGGAGCTTGCTGTGCAGATAGGGCTGCAGGTGTAAATGCCCCAGGCTACAGGACGAGGGAGTGATGGAGTCAGGATTTGAGCTCAGGTCAGAGGGGGCAGGAGATGTGACAGCAAATGCACCTTGTGATCCTGGAATGGATCCTGGGTGCAAAGAAGACAGCTATAAAGCACATATGGGGACCATTGGTGACTTGAATATGGAATCCAGATAAAATATAGTTTCGTACTGATGTTAGATTTCCTGATTTTGATAACTATATATGGACATGTAGAAGTTCTTGTTCTTAAGAAATAACACTAGATTGTTGAAGAGTAATAGAGAAGATTGTCTCAACTTACTCTCAAATAGCTCAGAAAAAGGAGAGAGAATTATAAAGGGAATGTGACAAAACGTAGCAATTGGAGAAGCTGGTGATGGCTGTGTAGCGGATCCCTGACTATTCTTGCCACTCTATACATTTAAAACTATGTCAAAATTAAAACTGTAAAAAAGAAAACTCCAAAGTCCTGGCCGTTTCCATGTTTTTTTACAGCAGCTTTATTGAGTTGTGATGGAGTCAGGATTCAAGCTCAGGTCAGAGGCGCATGAACTGTACACATTTAAAGTGAATGCTTTGATAAGTTTGACGTTTGCATGCATCCAGGAAGCCATTATCACTTCGAAAAAAGTGAACATACCGTCACACTCAGTCCCCTCCTGCGCCTTTGTAACGATGCCTGTCACCCCTTCTCACCCCAACCCTCCGTCCCAGGCAACTGCTTTCTGTTACTGTAGACTGGTTTTCATTTCCTAAAATTTTATATAAATGGCATCATGTAGTATGTACTCTTTTTTGCCTGGTTACTTTAACTCTGTATCATTGTTTTGAGACTCATCCATGTTGAAGCATGTAGAGATAGTCCCTTCTTTATTATGGTTGAGTAGTATTCCATTGAATGGGTATACCACAGTTTATGTGTTCCCCTGCTGATGGACACGTGGGTTGTTTTCAGTTTGGGGCGATTATGAATAAAGCTGCTGCGAAGATTTGTGGACAGGTCTTTGTTTGGACCATGTCTTCTTTCCTTTCAATAGAATGGCCAGATCATATGGTAGACGTGTGTTAACTATTTTCCAAAATGACTGTACCACCTGAGTGTATGAGGGTTCCAGGTTCCCCACATTCTCACCCGGGTATTGACTGGCCTGGCATTGTCAGTATTTTGGTCTGTCATGCTAGAGGTATCTCATTGTGGGCATTTGCATTTTCCTAATGACTATCAGAGTTGATGTTGTCACCATGCCATTTTCTCTCCAGCTTTTCCGGGGCCACTGTGCCCTCTGGGCGAAGAGGCAGCTACAGGAAGCCTGGGAAGCTCAGCGACTGCCACTCCGACCCGAGGTGAAGGGTCAAGTCGCCAGCAGAGAGCATGGGGATGCATGGGCCCAGGTTGAAGACTAGAGTCCTAATGTGAGTGCCCAGGGCACTGTCTGACCAAGGTATTGGCCCGATGGCTCTGATTGGCAGAGCACACCCTTCGCATGGGTCATCCGTCAGCTCAGTAGCTCCACCTGGGGCTTTCTCACAGGTGATCAGTAAAGAGGATGCACCAGTCCTAACTAGGATTTCACCCACTGACTCACCAGTCATCAAGTGTCTTCCAAGTGCCAGTTCTGTGACCAGCATGAGTCTTTGATCGGCTTTGGTTGTTTCTTAGGTTGTAGGTAACTTTGAGAATGAGGTCAACATGCCTAAGACTTATGTTCAAGGCCTTTCTAGATCAAGTTCCTAAATTATGGCTTCCTGCCACATGCTTCTACCCCACCCGGGCTCCAGAGCGAACAAGTGCCCAGTGTCCCAGTCTTTTCAACTCCTTTCTGCCTCTCTGCCCCAATCTGCTCTCATGCTTCTCCCTCCCTTGGCCAGTGGAGACCTCAGCCAGCCGAGGCACCAGGCCTCCCTTGGAGCCCTCCCCATCCTCGCAGAAGAACTAATTGGGGCCAGCGCTGTCTGACCTTGTATCCCATGTGCTCTCTCTGAGGACTGCGGCGGGCTGTGACCTCCTGAAGCGCAGGGCGCTACTGCACACACCCGGCTTAGCACATGGAAGACTCCTAGTCACTTAGTCACCATCGGCTGAACCGAGCTGGTTTCTGCCCTACCCTCCCTTTCTGCATTTGGAGGCCAGGAGGACTCACCCTCACCATCACCCACAAGGTCCACAAATCACCCCAAATGCCAGAGGTGGCACCTGCTACATTGTGGAAGTTAAGTACCTCTGCCACCTTGTCCACCATGACCTGAAACAGCCATTATTGTTGTGCAAACACATGGCCCAGGAGGTTAAATACTATAACCAATTAGTTTCTCGGGGTGCGTCATCTTAAACATGCCAAGCTCAAGGAGATGCGAGCTGGTCCTAGGAGCCTCTTTTCCCCCTTCCCCTTTCCCGGTTCCAGCAGCACTTGCCCATCTGTACTTCCACTGCAGAGCTTTTCCCACTAGAAATGCCGTGAAACCTCTCTAATAAAATATTTAACGCGTGGATCGGTGATTTTATGTTGTGAGTTATGAAACCTTTATTTAGGTCCCACCTTTTATTAAACCTCAGGGCTCTCCTTTGGTCTCTAATGACATTACGTTGCATCCGAATTAGACAGTTTTTTTACCGTGGGGCTGCATTATTTGTTGTGACTGGGTAATGCTAATGTTTAAATTTTGAGTCCTTTTACTGCTGATTAAACCTCTAAAGACGACAGCGGAATTTCCGCTCCACTGCTAGAAGAAAGAACACAGCGCAGCTTGCATGGAGGAGATCGCTTGAAGAATGTGCGGGAAGGTTGCTGCATTTATGAATACAGGGAGGCATTATCATTTTTAATAGGAATTAAACAGCTAGAGGGAGAAGTCGGGCAATGCTGTGATCAGTGCAAAGGAAAACAATCTAACAATTTTAATTAACTGTATTTTAATAGCTTTAGTTATAATTGAATAATTTAAATACCAAGGGAAACAGTTAAATCTCCTAAAAGCCTTTTTTTATTTACATTTTAAATACAGTTCACGGTGAGGAGATGACAGTATGCGTGCTGGGTGGGGGGCGGGGGTGTTGAAGTGGGAATCGCCAGCAGCCTGGTGAGAACCCTAGTATGGGGTCAGGGCTCGCACGCCCCGCCCCTCAGATGAGCTGACCTCCCGAAACGACCATGGGACAGACGTGGGTGGGGACATTCCCTGCTTACCAGGGCCTGCAACACAGCTGGTGGCACAGCCCCCCAGTTAGTGGGGCTGGAGTACATCTTGATATGCATTCAGCGTTCAAGTGGTATTTATTGCTAGTCTATAGGAACAGCCACCTTGGCAGTAATAAAAGAGTAGAAATAGCAGCTGATACTGACAGAGGCTTCCTGAATGTTTGGGGCTGGAGATAACAGTGAGAGAGAGAGAGAGAGAGAGAGAGAGAGAGAGAGAGAGAGAGAGAGAGAGAGAGAGAGGTGAGCCCTGCTCACCTGGAGTTTTTCAATTGGAGGGAGAGACAGATAATAAACAAAACAACATGTAAACAAAATTAGTGTAAATTATGATAAGAGGCATATAGAAGGCAAAACAGGGTGCTACAATAGAGGATAATTGAGTGTTAAGGGTCATCTTGGATAAGGGGGGCTGGGAGGGTCCTTGCCTGGAGTTGATATTTATGTTGGGACTAAGAAGTATGAGGTGGGAGCTGGTGTCTAAGCCCGGGGCAGCTGGAGCTTTCCTGCCAGATTGAGGAGCATATGCAAAGGCCCTGGGGTAGGGCAGACTTGGTAGCATGCTGCTGGGATTGAGAGGAGCAGGCAGCGGGTAGAAAACAGGGAGGCAGGGAGGGTGATGTACGGTAGGGTGGAGAACCTGCCAGGCACAGAGGGTCGTGAGCAGCCATTGGATGTTTTTAAGGAGTGGAATTATGCAATTTGATTAGTGACTCTCAAAGATATAACTGCTGTTTTCCTCAGCCTGTGCTG